GGGACCGGGGCCCTCGGGAACCCGGCCTGGGATTTGGAACCGGGCGGGCGGAGAGGCGGCGAGGAAGAAGCCGAGGAGACAGGCGCGCGGCGGGCTGAGGGAAGGACGCGGGCGGAGCGCCCAAGCGGCCCCGGGGTCGCCGAGCCCTCCTCTTCTCCGTCGCCTGGCGTCGCAGCGCCGGGGGTCAGGGGGCGGTGCGGGGACGCGGGAGTCTGGGCGGTCAACCCCAGCCCCCAACTGTTGCTGCTGGAAGCTGCCGGGGCGGGCAGCGGTCCCGGGAGCCGGAGCTGCGTCTGGGTCCGACCTGAGCGAGGCGGCGCTGGGGAGGGCACCGAGCCGAGAGGGCGGAAGGCGGCTGTGGCGGCTCCAGGAGCCCGGTGCCCCGGTCCCCCGTCTGCTGAGCACCTGCTGCGCGCATCGCATCTGCCTGCACGCCCCGATCCCTTCGCCGGCCGTGAGTCCCCCCGATCTCCTCTGGCCCCGGCTCTCCACTCCTCTTCCTCAGCGTCACGCTCCCTTCTGTGACCTCAGGGAATCAGAGTGGGCTTCTGGGCTGGTGGCAGCTGCCACCTGCTGACCCCGCGCCTGTGGGCTGCTCAGTTCTCCCGGGGCTTCAACCCGGATCCCCGACGGCTGGGAGGGGAAGCCCGAGCCTCCTGCGGCGGAAGGCGTTTCGTGCCTAGGCTGGCAGGACGGGGACATGCAAGGCACCCAGTGGCCTGAAAGTCTCCCAGGGCGAGACCCCGGACCCTCCGAAGGTCCTGCTGGGTGAGCGAGGCGCGAGTGCCCGCCAGGCCCTGACGCTGCGCTCGTGCCTTTCCTCCACCGTGTCTCCCAAGCTTGCTCGCCCAGCGCGACTTCTGGCTCGGTGCCCCCGTCCTCAGATGCTGGTGCCGTCCTGGCTCTGTCCTCGACCCCAGGCCACGGGAAAATCGAGGAAAGGAACTTATCTGGGGAGGGCGCTATCCCCCTGGCTCGATTTCGGAGCCTCTCCAGTTCCTGGCCGTGCCAGTGGCTTGGCTGGTCCTCAACTTCGACGAATGGGAACGTGAAAGGGGCAGGTGGGCAGGAAGCCGGACTCCTGACTTCGCTCCGGCCCGGGGCAGGCCTGGGGTCTTGGGGTCGCGATCCAGCTTGGGGGAGGGGTGCGGAGGTGCGGGCCTAGGCTTGGGGGCGCCGCGGGGCGAGTGCTGCCCAGTCTGGCCGCCAGGAGGCGTGGCGTGGGTCCCCGCGCCCGGAGTCGCTGTCGCCGCCGCTGCCGCCGCATCGCGAGTGTCCTTGAGCCGCGGTGGACGGTGGCTGTCGCCGCTCGCGCCCCCTCTTCCCGCGAGGGGAGCCTGATGCCACGTTCCCTATGAATTATTTATCGCCGGCCTAAAAATACCCCGAACTTCACAGCCCGAGTGTGTAAGAGATTCCTGCCGAGGGGGTTGGGGCTCCCCCGGGTGGGGGGT